CTGATCTATTGAGCAATTAAATGCTTTTATTCATGCAAGACTTTGCCAGAGTGAACTCGCTGAGCCTGCAGATGAACGCATCGAGTCAGAAACAAAGGGAAAGCATTGGGATCAACCCAAGAGATAAATTACACATTGGATCAGTGGCTCTTCCTCTCACTCTGCCATGGAGGCATTATTAGCTGTCAGGACATGCCCAGTGGCTGGCAGCACCCCCACACACAACATCCACAAAACCCCTCCCTGGTCAGGCATGAAGCAGAGGTGACCTTGACACGTCTCACTCCCAAGCCTTTAGCTGTAAGACTCGTGACTGCACTCAGGAGCCTGAGCTTTGGGCAGGGAAAACGAACTTTCCCGTTGGCTCTCGAACATGGTACCAGCTGGCGAGCCCACAGAACTTCTGCCAGTTCACTCACACAGTGTTCTGCGCCATTCCCCAGTCCCTGCTGCTCCTCCCGCCCCCTCCTCAGCCCAGCCTCAGGTCACGACAGAACGGGAATGACCATGAAACTGACCTGCCGTGGAAGGAGGACCTGGCAGAAGGCAGGAGTGTGTCACCCCCCAGAGCAGACAGGTCGGGATGAGGCAGGGCTGATAAATGACCCAGGGGCAGGTCTGATGGAAGACGCGTCCCAGGAAGATTAAGTCTACCAGTGCTCATTGAGACTGGCCAAAGGGCAGGTGCTGTGCTAGCTACTGAGCTTACAGAGCTGAGACCATGGCTCTGGTCCTCAAAGATGACACCTTCTAGTAGAAGATACAGACAGGTAACCAACCAAGGGGACACAAGGCAGAGGCACAGGTACAAATGCACACAGCATGGGGAAAGTACCTCCCCGAGAGGAGAGGAGGAAGGAGATGGCATGAAAACCCTGCCCTGTGGAGGGAGCAGCGAGGAGTCCGGGGCTGGAGCGCGCGGAGCGTGGAGAGCTGCAGTGGACACGAAGGAAAAGCAGAAGTCAGAGCTGGAGTCCAGAGAGGGACGCCGTGGAGGCGCAAACCAGGGCAGGGCCCACGGGGGGGGGGGGGGGTGCTGTGGTAGAAAATAAAGGCCCTGGTAACTGGTGACTCAGTGACTATGGGGGTGGGAAGGAAGAGGTGAGTGTTGGGTAGTTCAGAGGATTCAAACGGGGCTGAGGACTGACGTGGATCCTTAGACCTAAGACCCATTACCAGGGTGTGCGGACAGGGCTGGCAGGCCAGGGCAGGTGTCCTGGGAACAAAGGCAGGGAAGAAGGGGAAGTGATGGGAGGTAGTGTTCAGATAAAACATTCAGAGTTTATTTCAGAGCTACAGGAACCTCAAGGCGCCCGGGGGGGCCGTGGGAGTAGCCACACCGGAGAGGAGCAGGTGGGCAGAGCGGAGCGGGTAAGGGTCATCCCAGTGAATGCTGAGATCACTTGGAATGACCAAGGGAGGTGGAGTAGAGGAACAGCCTGGCAGTCGGGGACTAGAGTCCACGTCTCAGGGGAAGGCGGAGATGTGACCTGGAGGTCCATGGAGGAGGGCACGGAGGATGAGGAGAGGGTGGAATAGCCATCTGAGCATGTTCCTTCAGAAGGAGGGGTCTGGGACTGAGTCCCAGGTCAGTGACCTGAAGGCAGCAGTGACAGGGGAGGGAAGGGCATGTCTGCCCCCAGCTTCACCCAGATCGCCCCTCTTGGTGCATCTGGGATGGACCTGTGTCCCCAGCTCCATCACTCGGGAAGGAAGGGCCAGCCCACCTGGAGGCCAGTGCCCTGTGGTGCTGTGTGCAGAGCAGGCCCGGACCAGACGGTCCCTGACCTGGTCCTCTCCGGGAGTGCGTCCAAGGACGGCCCCGGCTCCCCATCGGCCTTCAGGGACTCTGGATGAGGACATCCCTTTGATTTTTCAGTCCGACCCCTCCATAGGGTTCAAGGTGCAGTACCTCACACAACCCTGTTCAGTGTCCGAGCACACAGCTGAGGGAGATTCTCCTTTGTCTGTGGCTCCCTTGTCACCTTTGGCATTTCCTCCACACAGGCAGCACACGTTTCATTCTCCCGGTTCTTCTCTTCAGGGTGTTCCGTCCAGTCCTATAGAACCAGCACAGGGAGGCCTCTGCTTGGCCAGGCGGGCACCCACACACCTCGTGCGGAGTTCCCAAAGCAAGACCGTGTCGTTCCCCCAGAAAGCGCCTGCGGCCTTCAGGGAACCGTCACCCTGTAACAGTAATAGAAATAAAACGAACGATGCCGCCGTCGAGCGAAGGGACCCAGGTCCCCAACGCAGTCATGGCGTTCCTCTGCTGTGCTAGTGAAGCAGCAGACGGGGGACACATCTGCGACTGCATCGGATGCTTTCTTGAAGCATCAACCCCTTTGTCTGTTTTCATATTCAGAACAGAACCATTTGCAAAAATGTCGTCAAAATAGTACGGTTTTGCGATGTGTTGCTGTCCTTGGAGCTGTGCTGTGAGCCCGAGAGGCAGAGGGACGTGGAGACCTGGGATCTGCTTCTTCTCTTCCTCGTTGTCAGTCCGGGGTTCTCGGCACGATGGGCCCAGCTGCCCTTTTCCAGGCCCTCGACTGCCCACGATGCCTCAGGAAGAACAGGTGATTTTTGGAGATCTGATACCAAGCAAACGCCATCAGTAATATTAATCTTACACCAAACTCTGAATCTGGGCCCCCGTTTGAGAGCCAAAGGCTCTGCGACACCTGGTGCCTTCCAGGTAGATCCGGCCTCGGGCTCCGGGCGGTGCTGACTGTGCAGACAAGGCCCCCCTGTGGTTTCTGGGACACTCGTGTGATCTGAACAGTGAGGCGGCGGGTGGAGGCCCTGGGCTCACGAGGCTGAACCTCTATTTTGTTCATAAAGTCACCTCCACGCCCAGGGGCGCTGCCCTTCCCAGCAGGGGGCGGCCGAGCCTCTCACTCCGGAGACCCAACGCTGTCGAGAATTTCTCCTGCCCAGCATGCTGCGCTCACAGCCAGTGAAATTCAGATCGGGGTGGCCGTTCTGAGAAAATACACTGAAGGACTGCAGTGTCATATGCTACGGGTGGTCGACTGTGCCTACATTTGGAACATTTGAGCAAAATCTCTCAGAGAAGAAAGAGTCCTCTCTGTTTACACGGGGCCTCACTGGCTCTCAGCCCCTCCCTCTGGCCTGTCCCCCACCCCTCCTACATGGACAGTTGGCCCCTCTTGACCTCTGAAAGCACACGCAGCTCCGTTTCTTAGCATGACAGGGCAATACCGAGATGTCCCCAGGAAACATCAAGAGGAGTGTACTTTGAAGAAATTTGGGGGGGGGCTGCCCATGTGTGTCAGCAAACGCACCGCGGGAGAAGCGTCTTCACACCACACCCCTGTCTGACTCGGACAGCGCAGCTCCAGCTCCTTGTGCCGTCACAAGCGGCGCCTGCCACTCACGGCCGAAAGGGGACTTAGGTCTTCCCGGTGTCCTTGGAAGGAGCCCAGCACAGCCCCCAAAGGAGAAAGTCACTTCCTCGTGTCACTGAGCTGCTATTGCTAGATCTGAGGGACTCAGAAAGCTCAGATTAGTGGCGAACTCACCCGGATCACCAGCCCCAGTAACAGACAGACGTTGTTTTCAAAACCCGAATCACATCTTGCTTTTAAGAGAGGAAGAAGTCAGTGCGTCCCCTTCGAGTGGGGCTGTATGAGTGGCCTGGGAATCGGCACAGGATAAAAGCCTCTTCTCCCTCCAGGGGCCAGAACTTGCCCCCGAAACGGCCCGGCCCTGCAGCAGACAGCTGAAATCCCCCGAGCCGGGTTCTGACTCATGCCTGCCTACCGCTCTCGTCAGCCCAGAACACACGCAGCAAATCTACCTGCTCCAGTCATCAGAACGTAATTCCCCTCCTTCGATAGACCCTCTGGTTACTAATTTGGGGAAGAAAATGGCCTTTGAAGTTTTCCTTGGCTTGGGAGGAGTTTATTATCTTCTGGGACACACCCACATTCCCCTCCTCCCATAGGACATGTCTCCCCTGACCATCCCCCAGGGACCCCTCTCCTAACCCTCGGATAAACCTCTCCTCTCACTTCCCAGCTTCCACGCACCACCTGACACCCCACTGACGTCATGGAATCCCGTCTGCTCCGCTTGGCTCCGTTCGTACCGCCTCTGCCTTAGCTGAGGTCCAGAGCTTGACCTTGACTATTGCAACAGCATCCCTCTCTTGGGTCAAAAGCCTTCAGCACTGTCAAAATATATCCGTTCTCTGCCTAAAACATCTCGACGGCTCCCCATTGCCATCGGCATTCACTCGGTTCGATTTCACAAACGCGTACTGGCACAAGGCAAAGGAGCAGTCTGCCCCCGAGAGAGTGTGCGGGAGTCGGCCAGTGGGCTGGGCACAAATGAGCACGGCTTTGTGGGGACAGCACCAAAGTGAAAGGAATTATAAAGCTGGGGGCCAGCGGCTGGAAGACACTATAGAAGACTGGCGACATGTGAGCTGAGGCTTAAGGCATTTGTCAGGTGGACACTGATGAAAAGGATGTTGAGGGACCTTTTAGGGAAAGGGGGTGACTTGGACAAAGACATAGAATTATGGAAGCTCCTGCGTGGTTCAGGGCCTCTGATTGTCTCAGGCCATCATTGTCACTTGCCACACGTGCCATCTTTAGCAGACCATCAAAATTAGGTCAGAGCACTACACCGGGTGGGAAGTCAGTCACCCAAATAACAGACGCAATTCAGAATGCAGCCCCCTTCCCACAGGGCAGGAAGAAGAGGAGGCATCAAGCCCTGATGCCCAGAGACACTAAAGAGAATCTACGGACCAGTCTTCACTGTCATCTCTCTTGGAAAGAGGCAGTCCCGCCGTCCTAGCATCATGATACCCAGTGACAATGACCAGCCCCACTGACGGAGCTGTGGGTGGAGACACACCCTCAGAATGGTGGCTACTCAGCACTAGCCGAGTGCTACAGGAAACCACCAATGTACAGTCAAGGGCATTGTGCCTGACCACAACATACTCACAGTCTTGGTGTGTGTGTGAGACCCACGCAGAGTGAGGGTGAGCACGGCCACAGACAGTGTAGTGCCCATCTGAGGGTCATAGCAGTAACTGAGCTTCTCAGCTGGTATAAGTCAGATCAGTATGGGCTGGAGTCATCAGGAATGGGTTCACGGAGCACATGGATGCGGTGTGAGCTGAACCACGGCAGCTGGGTGGGATTGGGGTAATGAGAAACAGGGTCAAAGAACAACCTGAGGGAACACTATCAGCCAAGGCAAGAGCCAGGACAACTAGCCCCTTAGAACTGGAAGACGTCTTGGTGCTCATCCATGCAAATTCTTAGCCACAAATAAACCTTCCTGTAGCAACCATCCAGGCTCTTAACTGGGTGCTGTCAGGGCCAGAGAAAGGAGCCGAGTGGAGGGACGGTGCGGCAGACACAGACCCCTCTCTGTGCTGCCTTTCCTGGTAGCGACTTCTTTCTCCAAGAAGCCAGCATCCTAAATCTTAAAACATCTTTTCTTGAGGCTCCGGGGACAACCCTTTCCCCTGACCCTGTATCTCAGCAAAAATGTCATCCCTACCCAGTGCGACAGATTTGCCCTGCAGAACAGAGCGATCGGCCTCCATCCTCGGCATCCATATTCATGGGAAGTGTTCATGCTCTGACCTGTAGCCTGTGTGGGATGTCAGCCTGGGAGCCCGAGCTGATGGTCCCCAGAAGTGCACTTCAGGAATTAGCCCACAGCCATCTGCCTCTCCTCCTAGTAACTCGGGCCCTGGGAGGAATAAACAGCTGTTGTCATTGCAGTCCCAGAGAAGCATGAAATCGGGCAAGGAGGGGGGGGTGGTACCTTCCAGAGCCAAGGCTGCTCCTGAGAGTGTTTGAAGGTTATTAGTGTGGCTATAATCAGGCCATTAGCCAAATGCAGGTGGAGAATGAAGTGGCTTTGAAATTGCTTTCCAGAGAAAGCAGAACCTGGCTTGGTATAATCTGTGCATATGATCTCTCTCAAGTAGCTCTTCAGCTTCCTACAGGACCAAGGGGCTAGGACTCGGATCTTCAGCTAACCACAGGCAGAACTAGCCACCTCCCTGGCCCTCAAAGGGCAGCAGGGCCTGCGAGCCAAAGCCCTGCCCTCCGCCTCTTCCCCCTGCCCTGTAGGGTCAAGTGCAAGCCAAGAGGCCCCTTCTCATCCTCTGAGCCAGGGTCCAGACACTCACTTGGCTCGTAAACACTTCTTTGCAGTTCCTAGGCAGGTGTCTCGTTGTGCATGCCAGTGTGGGCCAGTGCCCAGTGTGGCCGTCCTGTTCCCCTCAGGCTTCCCAAGGGACGCAACAGTCATGTGATTTCTGGGGGCAGATGAGAGAGGGGTCTTCAGAGTCCTCTGTAGGTGAACCTTCCTGTCCAGGCCCTTCCGAGCCACTTGGCCGATCCGGACCGTCTTCTTCAGCGGCTGCAGAAAGAAGAAGGAGTGTTCCCACCTGCTGCTCCTTGGGGTTCCTTGTCTTTGTTCATGGCACCCCCATCCAGCTGTTTCCCCAAGACTAAAGTTTGGGTCTTATCCCTTTGCTCAACCTCCTGCACATCCAATCAATTACAAATTCTATACCTATATCCCATCAGCCCAACACCCTCCGCCAGTTGTTTCCAGCCCCCACCACAGCAGCCTGCCCGGACCCTCCGCACGCAGCTCTGTCCCTCTCTGATCTGCTGTCCACACTGCAGCCAGAATCATCTCCTAGGAATTTCAGGTCGGATTCTCTAGCGCCTCTGATCAGTCCTTCCATAGCTCTCATTGTCCTTGGGATGACGTCCAAACTCCTCCTCTGACCCTGGCACCTCCATGAGTCTACACTGCGGCCAACTGAACCTGCCCACGGGCCCCCACAGTTCCACTTACCTCACTAGCAGTCTGCACACGCGGCTGCCTCTGCCCGAATGCTTCCCCATCGCTCCCTACTCCACTAAATTCTGTTTCTCCTTAGAGCGTGGCTCAGGTTTCCTCTCCAGGAGCCTTTTCCAATCCCTCTTCCCCCATGTCTGGGACGAGGGCCTCTTGTTGTGCACTTACTGCACGGATTATTCGCACATCTTCCTCTGCCGCCCGTCTGTGGGCTCCTGCGAGGCTAGGCTGTGGTGGAGTCGATCTGTATCCCCCATACCTATCACAGCACAGAACACCGGAAAAGCACTTCAAAGTGTCAGATGGTTGAATTCATGAAAGAACAAATAAAATAATAGATGAGGTTGCAAATCGCCTAAAGACCCAGTGGGGCACCAGCTCGGGGTGAGTGTAATTGGGGATAAGATGGCAGAATCACACATGCAGAACTAAGAAATGTTTCAAACAGAGTACTTCAGCTTCACCTCAGTCTCCTCTGCACATTTGGCTGGCGCGTTCCCCCTAGACCGACCTAATCAAACGTGGCGAATCTTGGTTCTGTGACTCTTATCACTGACCTAAGTAACGACATTTGGTAACCAGCATGGAGTTTAGCCTGACTCATGTTGGATGAACGTCTTGCCAATGATTCAGGGACTAGGAGCATATTCATAGCTTTCCTGCCATCTAGTTACCCTACCACGGGAACTTTGATGTGCCAGGATGTACTCTTCAACCCTGGATTGGGTAAAATAACCTTTGACACATTTGTCCACTCTCTTCAGAGTGGTTTTATGGGAGTGAGGGAAGAACTCAATCTTCCAGGCTGGTGTTTGCTGGTTCCGTGAACAAGTGAAGGGAGACCAACTGAATTACAACTGGACTCGCTGCGTGGAAACTGCTCCATCTGGCTCAGCCTTCTTCTTGGGTCAGTTTTCTATCAGTCCTCCTTGGTGCCCCAGGCCGCCCCAGGTCTCTTTCACAAGCTGGCAGATGCATTCGATGAAATGCTGGCAAAATGACATACAGATGGTCACCCATATGGTGCCAGTTTGGATCTGACTCCTGGAGAAAATTCTGGAAGCCCATTCAGCTATGAAGGACACCCACTGGCTTCCTGCATGAAGATCCAAAGCCGACTGCTCATGGGGACACAGGTGGGAAGCAGGTGCTTCACATAAATGGACCACCCTCTGCTACTCATCACGATCAAGCCAGTGGTGCAGGAGAAAACAAAATGAGAAAGAACTATCATCCAAGAGATGAAATGAACTAGTGGCCAAGAAGACAGGGATGAGGTCTGGAGTCCCATAACATAAATGGTCATACTCCAGGCAAGCTTTGCCTTGGCGCACACCAGAAACTTGGAGACAGAGTGTGTGAGGACTTCAGATTTCATTACAGTTGGTGCAATATTTGGGGATGTTCAATCTAATAAGGGGCCACAGAAGCCAAGGAACAGATGCATTCAGCCAGTTGTTCAACATTTATTGAACGCCCACCACATTCCAGGCATTTATTGAACACCTACCATGTGCCAGGCACAGTTCTGGGTACTGAGAATAGAATGGTTAACAACTCCCATAACACCCTCCTTTTAGAGACTTACATTCCAGTCGGGGGAAGACAGAGAGACAAACAAATAAGAAAGAGTCCGATAGTAATAAGCGCTATGTAGAGAAGTAAAATGGGCTGATGTTATAGAAAAGAACAGGGTGGCGATGGGAACTGGGGTGACTAAGGGAGTCCTCTCTGAAAAGCTGACATTTAAAGCTACAATCTGAATGACAAAGAGGAGCAAGCTAACCACACAGGCATTGAGGAAATAGCTAGAACAAAGGCCCAAGGGCCCAAGGTGACACAGACTGATTTTTAAAGATGGTGAAATAGTAGTATCCTGATAATGGGAGACTCTACAGAGAGTAAAACTCTAGCCAACAGTGAAGGGTTCCAGAAACTGATATAGTCATGGGTTGAAAGCATAACCACTTACAGCCAAGACAGTCTGGAGAAGGCAGGAATTAACAACAGCTAGCTCAACAATATTTCATTGGGATGTTCAAAATTCTAAGAGGGATTCACACCAGGAATAGACCTGGCATTGAATCATGAAGACAAGGAGAAAAGCCAGGTCTTGAGGAATTGGGTCAAGGCTAAAAATGAAGTGGGCAAATATAGGATAGGCTGGAGCTGAGGTATTTCTGGAGGATGAGGTTGAACCAAGCCCAGGGTTAGATTCTAGGTATGCAAGAATGAAGGCAAGAATAACCCAATGGAGCAGGAACTCAGAATGAAGTCAGGAGCTAGATATGAAGCCAAAGATGAAGAAACTCAAGGATCAGGGCATTTCCATTTCCAAGAAATTTTGGTATATGCTTCCTGTCAGGATAGAGGCCAATCCAAGACTTGAACTAACCCCAGAACACTAATGACTCCCAAATCTATACTTGCAGTCTACACATTCCTCTTGAACTTTAGTCCCAACTCTATGAAAGTCTCAGGAAGTTTAAGCTCACCTTTTCCAAAGCTGAACTAATGATCTCCCTCCTTTTTCTATATTCCACATGTCAGGACTGATGACACTATTTACACTGCTCACAAGCCAGAAGGTTGGACACCATCCAGTGCAGGTTTGAGTTTTTCATGAAATAGCATCTTAGATAAAGATTAGCATAAGGAGATGTATTGAAAAGTGCTCTTGGGAACACCTGTGGGAGGGAAGGGAGGAAAGCAGGTTTGGAAAAAAAGAAGACATTGAGCTGCAGTAAGGTCTTAACCAAGGTTTCAGCCAACCCTTCAGGGTGCTCTGAAGTCTGGAGGGTTCTCAGAATTGTCTGGAGGTGGGACAAGGGATCTGCGGTGTATCTTTTATACCCTAATGTTGACCAGTCATGGGACATCCAGGAAGAGGCAGTATGACCTTGGACAAGATATCTGTCTTCAACCAAAGGCAATTCTTCCAGCAGCTGGAGAAGTAAGTTCCTTAGTCTTAAGAGGGTCAGGGTGGCACATCAAAGCATCTACTTCTTCTCCCTTTTGCCTCATTCCCATCATCCTGTGAGAGATGAGACGTGACCTGGAGGTCAATCTTCTACACATTTCTCCCACCCATCCTCTTCTTTTTTTTTTTTATCCTCACCCGAGGACATTTTTCCTTTTTTTGTTCAGGTAGAGTGGGAGGGAGAGAGAGGAACAGAGAGAGAGAGAAACATCGATGTGAAAGGAACACATCGAGTGGTTGCCACCCGCACAACCGACCAGGGCCGGGGACAAACTGCAACCGAGGTACGCGCCCTTAGCGGGAACTGAACCCGGGTCTCTCAGGACCGCAGGCCGACGCTCTAACCGCTGAGCCAAACCGGCCAGGGCCCCATCCTCTTCTTTCCTTCCACCTTGACACCATTCAAGTCTAAAAACTTCCCACCTAGGCTAGGTTTTCAACCTGCTCTCCCTGGCCCTATCCACATGGCTGCCACAAGTCAGTTCTGTTTTTCTGAGACATCAATCTGAGCCTATTACTCTATTCTTTAAAACTCCTCAGCAGCTATCTTCAGAATAAAATCTGAATCTCTTCAGGATGAAATCTGAATTCAGATCACAGAATCCCAGATCCTTCCTGAACTAACCCCTGTTGAGGCCTCTGTCCTCATGTCTCCCCACTCCCACCCCTGGAGTCTATGCTTCAGCCTTTCTCCATGACTTAGTGTTTTCTAAGTGTTTCTTAGGACATGTGGTCCTCTGGCCAAGAAGGCCTTTCCAGCTCTACCCTCTCTGGCCCTCAGGATACATTGCAGGACTCACTCTGTCCTGAAACAATACACCCAACACAATCCTACTCCACCCCTGCCCCACGTCGTCTTGGTCTTCCCTCTATCCCAGTACTCACAGCTCTCTCACAGTGACCTAATGTTTCTCCCCCCTTCCCTGTAACTCAGCAACATCCTTAAGAATAGAAACTGTATCGTATTCTTTTTAATATCCCCAAATACTATCATAGTGCATGGCACATAATAGGCATTCAGTAAATAATTGATGACTGAATCAATTAGTCAACCAATGAGAATAAGTTAGTAATGTTATCTGACAATTAATACCAAAACACGATAGCGGTTCTCAACCTGTGGGTTGCGACCCCTTTGGAGGTCAAATGACCCTTTCAGAGGGGTCCTCTAAGACATAACAGTAGTAAAATTACAGTTATGAAGTAGCAACAAAAATAATTTTATAGTTGGGGGTCAGCACAACATGAGGAACTGTATTAAAGGGTCGCGGCATCAGGAAGGTTGAGAACCACTGCATGGAGTTCGTCTACCAGCAGGGATATAACAGCTGCAGGAATGGAGACACAGAATCCTCAGGCCAGGGCAAAGGCTCCCAGAGACTGTTAGAACTTCTGCAGCCACAACAGCCCTTTATCCCTGGATGTGCTTCCAACATACGCCGAGGGTCCGCCGCGTCTACGTGTTTCTGGTAAGCTAGAGGGCCTGTCCACTGTGGCTCACCTAACACACCAAGCCCCTTCTTACAGGCCTTGCTGCACTGGCGAGACTAAGACCTGAAAACCACATCAGTTCCCAGACCGAAGTGACCTACCTTCCACCAAGCAGATGCACCCATCCAACATGGAAGTGAGCAATAGAAGGTGGCAGCCATGCGCTGCGAGAGCAGAACTGGGGACAGAGGTGTTCGGTCCTTGGCAGAAGCTATGGTGGAAATTCTGTGGCCTGGTCCCTGGCCCCAGAGATAATGAAGTGGGTCTAGGTGGGCCCAGGAAAGGGTTTCTGCTCCTACTGTCACTGGGCATTTCTCCTGGCTGGTTTCCTGACCCTTGGGTAAAATCCACTCCCTACCTTGTAGTAAATCCCTTTATCCTTAAACTAGCAACTAAACAATACACCCATTTACAAGAAGGCCTGCAGATTCTCCTTGGAAAGGGTCCATCCTGGGCGGAGAAGCAGCCAAGTGTGATGAACTTAACCCAACAACAAAGCCTCCGTGTCGGAATGGTAATTCTGTCCTTCAGATGTATCTCCTGGGCCAGCCCACCAAGACTCCTGTATGAACCCCATGAAGAACGGGGGGACTACCAGTGGACACAGAGAGAGCTGTCAGGTAATACCACCTGCGGCACTGAGGCACAGCCAGCCCTGCCTGGCCACCCTCCGGCAGAGGAGAGGGAGGGATTCTCCCCCACTCTGCTTCAACCCGTTCTGCAGCTTTGGCATAAAGGCTCTAATCAGAGGGGACATCATCACTACAAAGAGATGGCAGTGCCCGGTCAGAGGTCCAGCAGGGGCTCTAGGACACAGGCAGCCTCGAGCTGAAGCAGGGGCTGCCCTGGGGAGGAGAGGCCTTGTTTGTAAACTCGGGTGCGATTCTCTCTGGGGA